CCCCCTCCCCGTCGCCGTCGTTCGTCGCCGTCGTTCGTCGCCGTCGCCGCCGTCCGTCGTCTTTCATCTGTCGTCCGTCGCCCGTCGTACGTCGTCCGTCGTCCGTCGTCCGTCGTCGTCGTCGTTGTCGTCGTCGTTGTTGCAGTGAGGAGGTAACGTATCGGACACCGCTCCTAGGGTGACGGTACAGTGCAGTCGTAGTCGACGACGAGGGTCGAGGGTCGAGGATCGAGTTTCGAGGGTCGAGGACGGAGTCTCGGGGGTCGAGGCTCGAGGCTCGAGACTCGATGGTCGATGGTCGTGGCTCGTGGCTCGAGGCTTCGGGCTCGAGGCTCGAGGATCGAGGGTCGAGGTTCCAGTGCCGAGGATCGAGGATCGAGGGTCGAGGGTCGAGGATCGAGGATCGAGGCTCTAGGCTCGTGGCTCGAGAGTCGATGGTCAGCTCTTGAGGTTCGAGGCCTCAGGCTAGAGGATCCAGGGTCGAGGATCCAGGGTCCAGGGTCGCCTGGAGCTGCCAACGGTGTACCAGGCTTAATGTGCCCCCAGGAGTTTGCAGGAGGCTCTCACGGCATCCTGAGAGGCCACTGGGGCCCCTGGGACTCAAACGTGGAGCGAAAAGCTCGAGGCACTTGGGTTAAGGACACTAGCTCTTCTTACCTGTTTGTGTGGCCCAAGGGCTCTTTCCCTCCTTCGCCCTCAGCGCTGGCCGAGGGCGAGGGTTCGAGGGCTTCGACCTTCGGATGGCCGCCCTGATGGTGCCCTAACGGCCTCAAGGAGGAGGAGGATGAATCAGCCTGCGAGGAGTGTGTGTGTGTGTGTGTGTGTGTGTGTGCGTGCGTGCGTTCGTGCGTGCGTGCGCGCGCGCGCGTGCGTGCGTGCGTGCGTGCGCGCGTGTGTGTGTGTGTGTGTGTGTGTGTGTTGTGTGTGTGTGTGTGTGTGTGTGTGTGTGTGTGTGTGTGTGTGTGTGTGTGTGTGTGTGTGTGTGTGTGTGTGTGTGTAAGAGTGTGGCCGTGTGTGTGTGTGTGTGTGGCCGTGTGTGTGAGAGAGAGAGGTGGAGGGGGAGGAGGACGCGGATATTGAAGCAGACGAGGATGGGACGGGACATAATGAAGGGAGGGAGGGAGGGAGGGAGGGAGGAGGGGGAGGAGGAAGGAGGAGCAGGAAGGAGCAGGAAGGAGCAGGAGGAGGGGGAGGAGGTCGAAGACTGATGAGGCAGGAGGAGGAGGAGGAGGAGGAGGAAGATGGGGACTGATGCTGATGATGATTATGCTGATGATGCTGCTGATGATGATGCTGCTGCTGATGCTGATGATGATGATGCTGATGCTGATAACGCTGCTGATGTTGCTGCTGCTGATGATGATGCTGATAATACTGATGCTGACAACGATGCTGATGATGATGCTGATGATGATGTCGATACTGATGATGATGATTCTGCTGCTGCTGCTGATGATGCTGATGATCAGGATGATGATGATGCTGATGCTGATGCTGATGCTGATGCTGCTGCTGATGATGATGCGGAAGAGGATGATGATGATGATGATGATGATGATGATGATGATGATGATGATGATGATGATGAAGCTGATGATGATGATGATGATGATGATGATGATGATGATGATGATGATGATGATGATGATGATGATGATGATGGTGGTGGGTGAATAAAAGAGGATGACGAAGAGGGAACGGAGGAGGATGGAGGAAGCGTAACGTGGAAGACAGCATTCAGGAGGAGGTGAAGATGAGGAGGAGTAGGAGGAATAACGAGGAGGTGGAGGTGAACTACTGATGAGGATGACGATGGGATGCTGATGGTACTGAGAAAATTATGATGCTGACGCTGCTGATGCTAATGATGCTGATGCTGATGCTGATGCTGATCCTGATACTGGTGATGATAAGACTGGTGGTGGTGGTGATGCTGATGGTGCTGATGATGATGATGCTGCTGCTGCTGATGATGATGATGATGATGATGGTGTTGATGCTGATGATGATGCCGAGGCTGATGATGTTGATGAGGGGTGGTGATGATACTGAAGATGATGCTGCTGCCGATGATGATTCTGATGATGTTGACGGCGATGACCACGACGACGATGATGCTGGCGATGATGTTGATGATGATGATGACGATGCGGATGATGACGATGATGGCGATGATAATGATGATGCTGATGATGATGATGATGATGATGATGATGATGATGATAACGATGGGAGCGATGGTGGTGATGCTGTTGATGATGACGATGACGCTGATTATGTTGATGAGGGGTGGTGATGATCATGATGAATAGGATGCTGCTGATGATGATGAGGATTAGGGGGATGATGTGTACAATGATGATGGTGGTGGTGGTCATGATGATGTATATGCTCATGATGATGATACTGATGATGATGATGATCGTGCTGCTGATGCTGCTGATGCTGATGATGCTGATGATGCTGATGATGACGATGATGCTGCTGCTGATGTTGATTATCATGACTAGGCTTGTGGTGATGCTCATGATACCGCTAATGCTGCTGATGATGCTGCTGATGATGACAATGACGATGACGATGACGATGCTGACGATGATGGCGATGATGATGATGAGATGATACTGATGATGCTGATGATGATGACGATGATGCTGATGATGCTGATGATGCTGATGATGCTGATGTTGATGATGCTGATGCTGCTCATGCTTCTGATGATGCTAGGATGATGCTGCTGCTGATGCTGCTGCTGATGATGATGATGATGCTCATGATTATGATGATGCTCATGCTGAGGATGATGATGGGGCTGGTGGTGATGATGAATGGTGATGATGCTGCTGATGATGCTTGTGCTGATATTGATGATGATGACGATGATGAAGAATACTATGATGATGACACTGATGCTAGTGCTGATGCTCATGCTGCTGCTGATGATGATGCTGATGATGCTGCTGATGATTATGATGAATATGCTGATGATGCTGCTGATGATGCTGCTGCTGATGATGCTGCTGCTGCTGCTGATGATGATGATGATGATGATGATGATGATGATGATGATGATGATGATGACGAGGGGGAGGAGGAGGAGGAGGAGGAGGAGGAGTAGGAGGAGTTGGAGGTGGATGAGGAGGAGGAGGAGGAGGAGGAGGAGGAGGAGAAAGAAGGCTGTTTGCGGGAAGCTCGTACCCCCCGCGTGCAAGGGCGGGGAGGCCTCAGCCCGCTGGTCGCGCCGTGGCCGGGGGGCGCCAACAGCCATGGGGTCCTCGGGCTGATCATCGAGATCCACGTGCGGACCATCGATTTCTACTGGTGGATCATCAAGATCTGCGTCTGGATCAGTACGTAGGCCATTCGGGAGACTTGCCCGCAGCAGTGCCGAGAATCCGAGTGGAAGCCGCTCTCAGGCGTATGAGATACCACGTCAGACATGGACGCCATCCCAACCCCACAGACACCATGATCTTTTTGCCGCTGCTCTTTAGAACTGCGACGGCGAGTACGACAGCAAGTGCAACACCGGATACAGCACGTACGACACCAAGTACAACAGGGCGGAGTCCAAGAACATCGTCGTCGAGGTCCTGGAGCGTGACCATAAGTACGGCCAACAGTACAACCAGGAAAACCTGTACGGCGTCGGCGACTACGGCCAGCACTACCAGTACGACCAGTAGCCGCCAGTATGTGGTCCACGACCGCTTGCGAGACGTACCAGCAGGGCAACGAGAGCCACCAGCTGAAATACGAGTGCCACCAGCGGGCTGCGAGGGCCGCTGCCTGAGCTATGACGGCCCGCAGACTTTCGGTTGCTACGGGGGAGAGGGAGGAGGAGGAGGAGGAGGAGGAGGAGGAGGAGGAGGAGGAGGAGGAGGAGGAGGAGGAGGAGGAGGAGGAGGAGGAGGAGGAGGAGGAGGAGGAGGGAGGAGGAGGAGGAGGAGGAGGGGAGGAGGAGGAGGAGGAGGAGGAGGAGGAGGAGGAGGAGGAGGAGGAGGAGGAGGAGGAGGAGGAGGAGGAGGAGGAATAATAATAATAATAATAATAACAATAGCAATAACAATAACAACAATGATACTACTACTACTAATAATAATAACACTAATACTCATAATAATACGAATAATACGAACAAGAGTAATACGAAGAAGAAGAAAACGAAGAAGAATAAGACGCATCAACATGAATACTAGTAATATTAAGAACAATAATAATAAGGGTAATCATAATACTAAGAATAATATGAATATTATCAGCAATAACAATACTCATAATATGAAGACGGGTACTAAGAACAATACGACAAATAATGGGACGATGAATAATACTATTATTGAAACTAATAAGAAGAAGCGATTAATGCGAACAATCATACGACGGCGAATACTATACATAAGAACTCATAGTAAGACTGTTGCGACGACTAAAAGCAATGATAAGAAGAAGACGAACAATACTCATATTAAGAAGAAGACGAATCTCAATACTAATGAGAAGAATAAGAAGCCATATACTGAGACACATAAGACGAATACTAATAATACTAATAATAAGAAGAAGAGGAGGATGAGGAGGATGAGGAGGAGGAAGAGGAGGAGGGGGAGGGGGATGGCGGAGGGGGAGGGGGAGGGGGAGGGGGAGGGGGAGGGGACAAGTTAGGTGCGCTCGCGTCAACATCTGACATCCTACCCCTCCCTCCCATCCCTTACCATGGCGCTGATTTCTCTATCCGCGGACGCGTGTCGTAGCGGACCTGTGGCTCCGCGCGCGTGTGCGTAGTGGGTGGTGGTGCGCGTGCGTGCGTGCGTGTGTGCGTGGTTGTGGTTGTTGTGGTGGTGGTGGTGTATGTGTGTGTGTGTGTGTGTGTGCGTGTGTGCGCGTGTGCTGTGGTGTGA